TAAACGCGATCATATTTCTGCTGTTATTGTTATCGTTTTGCTAATTATCGCAATGCACTTTTGCTTGCTTCGTCACATTAAACTTGACATTACACTTGATCAATTTGCTCCGATTATTATTGTTAACGATTGTTAATTTAAAATGACACCGATCCGTCACCGACACTGACCATATTCAATTTTTCTTAATCTCGCAGCGATAATATAAAGCAAACAACAGCTGACTTGATTTAAGAAAATCAATTGCCGGCTCTATGGTTGATGACCCAAAGGCCGGCAACTGATTACGCCTACAGCAAAATGCCTATAATGACAACAACAAATAATTTTCCCTTTTTGACGTTTGTAAAACGTGACAGAAATGCCAATAAATACATGTTTCTTTAATTCGGTAAATGTGTGAGTTTACGGTCAATTCGAAATGAAAATTATTCCACACAATGATTAACACGCGTTGCATTTCTATCAAGAATGATCATTTAGCGTTATTGATATTCAAAAAATCGTCAGGTATAATGCTGAGTAAACATGTGAACTATGTTAATTTATTAATTATGCAAAACACCGAATAGGACGTTTACTCGAGCTGTATAATATCGGGAAGCGATGAGTTGCAAACATTCTGTTTCTTTACATTAACTTCAATGAAGTACACCCGACACTCGTGCTTGAATGGAATTGAATGGCAGCGAATGAATGGAATATGAGAAGTGTGTGAAAGGATACGATAATAAAGTGGCATTTATAAGCACCGATTTGTTACAGTATAATAACGTTTTCTTTGGTCATTTTATTCAATAAAACGGCACATGCTTCTCATATTCCTTACATTTTAGTCGATTCAACAAATTAACAAGCCATAACGACCACATATATCATCCAAGTATAACCCGAAGTAATATTTTGGTTTTCAATTCAAACTGATTTCGATTTAATCTACCTTCGCTTATTAAGATTGACCTCAAATTAAGGACCACAATTCAGTTTGTTTCGATACGATCGTGATCAATCATTGCATCTTACCTTTGTTGACAAAATATTTGGCCTGAATCCTTATTCAGACATATAAAATATGAAAATTGTAGCGCAAATTCAGAATTAATGTGTGAATTTCATCAAGTGTCACCAAATCGAAATATAACATGTAGCCTGAAATACCTGAAATCAGCCCAGTTCGGTCTATTCTGAAGTGATGATACTTACTTTCACCTAACACATCTAAGTCCTGCAAAAAAAAATCTGAAAATAAGTACTAACCATTCTGTCAAGAAATCTCGTCTTTTGAACTTCACGTCCCTAAAAAATCGTATCCTCAAAAATTTTGATTCAAACCATATTTCAATTGTTTTTATTCACAATTTTCGGTTTTTTAACAAAGAGTTGCCTAAAAACTAAAGTCTTCTTTAAAAAGACACATTAAATTAAAGAAAAATTGGTGGTGCACCATACATGTATGACTCGAAAAAAACTACCATAAAATACTGTGCAAAAAATAATAATACTAATGAAATCAAGATGACCTAATGGCATTTAGGATGATGGACCCCACAATCGGTCAGTTCAAAAGTTGTCGAATTCAAACGCCCTTTCTTCAAAGGTGCCACGTTGATTGATCGCAATATTCGCCATTACGCCAATTTCGTCTTCAAAATGCACTAATTCAATGGCACAATTTCTCCTTTGGTGACTGGCGATTTGTGCAATTTCCAAACTTTTTTCAGTTATGGTTCGGTTATAGCACATAATCTTTAGTGTATGCAGATGCGTTGCGTGTGTTATTATTCCGTTCACTGTACGCCCATCCAAATCAGTTGCACTGGTGTTTAGGGTATCTTTCAGGCATATTTCTTCTAAGTTGGTCAATTTTTGTGCAATCATAGTCAGATGTAAATTCACCACATTCGGATACATGCTTAATTTGATCTTTTTGATTGTTGTTATTGTACTCAGCCAATAAATGCCAATGTCATCAAACTGTCCTCTTTTTATGGTCAACGTTTCAATTTTGCCATTCATCGCCAGTGCTTGAAGTAATGATGTTGTTGATGTATTACAAAAATTCAGTTCTAGCCGCGATAAAAATCGAAGATTTGCAATTTGGTCAATGTTTTCGGATACAATTTGTTCATCGGCATCGTTGTCCAAAAGAACCAATTCTTCAAGTGTCGGCATCGTTGATAGGCATCTCAATAATTGAGATGACATAAATCGTTTATTTTTCCGAAAAACAATTGTGCGTAAGTTCGGCTTTGCGACGGATTCAAGTAATGAAAGTGATTCAGAGGCGAATATGTCGTCAACTACCGTGTAGCCACAATGTTGAACGATAAATCGGCTGAGATTTGGGCAAGAATTGATAATTTTCGGCACAAAGTCGATGGGAAAATACGATTCCGTCAGTTCAATCGTTTGCAAATTTCGAAGTATTTGTTGGGAATTGAAACTGAAATTATTCAAATTGCAATGGCATATTTTTAGCTCTTGTAGTTTTTCTTCGCACTCGGATTTGGGGACACAATATTTGGCGACTGTATTGATTAGTGAAAAATCTGGTTCTTCCCAATCGAAATAGTTGCCACAAATGTGTGCAGATGTAATCAAGTGGCCGAATTCATGGAAAATTGATGCAACTTGATTTGTGGTGTAGTTTATCTTGATGTTGCATGAGAAGTCGATATGGTGGAACCGTGATCGAAATACGGCTCTCGCATTTTCACACATTTTTTTACATGTTTTTGCCATTGACACCAGGTCCAAAATTGGTAAATAGCACATCCACTGCTGGAGACAGTCGTTGTTCAAATTTTCAATTTTTCCATTAAATTCCTCCATTTCACTTGGAATCGAAAGACTTTTTTTTACTAACAAATTATATCGTTTTGCTTATTTCGATTCTAACACTTTAAACTATCAACAAAGAATACTTTTTTTAATGCGATCACCTCGAATGCCAATACACGACTGTCTGCTTAATCATGTTAACATGTTAACCGTATCGAACTACGGTTATGCGCGACCACCACTTATATATGTATTTTTGATCCAACGTTTGAAACGGACAGAGAAACTGACTTAATATGTTGAAGTGATCGTGTCACACGAATCGTGTGGCACTAGAGATAGAGAGAAGGAGAAAAAGTAAGAAAATACGCATATGAGAAGTCTGGTGTGGCAAATTTGATATAGTGTTTATGCACGTGCTGTGCGATATCGAAAAAGCAGCGCGTCGAAAAAGGCGCGAAACCAATTGAAAAATTAACAATGAGAAAGAGAGAAGAAAAGATTGCAAACAATTGACGTATGACTGTGTATGAAGTTTGTATACTTATCGGCATTTCTCGTTGTATACGTGTATGTCATTCAACGTGAGACGATGATTGCGATTTGTTTTTTTCTTTACGAAACTGACCGACGCTACGAACAAATATTCGAAATAACGACGAAAAAGTGTTTCACGGAATTGAGAAAAAAGAAACGATTTTCAAAAGGCTTGAAAGCGTCATAAAAATGTGTCGTAAAATTGAAAACTGAAAAATTGAAAATATGCTCAATTGAGTCCAGTGAAAAGGGTCAACGGTCAATATGTATGCTTTAAAGACATAATCCGTGACACTTCAAAATCAAAAACACATGCGACATTTACGACCATAGATCGTTTTTGTTCATCAAATATTCTCTGTTGTATTTGTTTTTGAGTAAAGATAGAGTGTAGAGGAAAGTGAAGAGAAATTTTGGCTATACTGTTCTTGAAAAACTATGTCTTGGACCATACTTGTGATGCATTGTGCGGACTAATACGTTTTCATGTTTGGCGACTTGTATATATAGTGCGAACGAATTGTTTATGATCGAAAATGGCTGAATTATTGCTTTGAATTTAAATGAAGATAGTGTCACATGCTCTTGACTTTGCGGTTGAGTCGATCGGGTTGATCTTCATATAACGATTCCAATGAAATGAACTTAAAAATTGATATTGTATTTCATGTAATTTCTCTTTTCTTCATGTCCAACACATTTTCGGTTTTTTAAAAAGACAAAGCGAAAAAGCAAATTCAAGAATTATTCCAAACGGACATCAACAATCAAGTCAGTTATTGTTCTTATCGAGTCTTCTTTCGCCTTGCTTCCACCACGTGAGCATTATTTTTGTGATCAACACTCAATGTTTGGTAAATAAATTCTCTTTTTTAACTAACTGGTTTACATAATTCCCTTTTCCAATATAACGTCTATAAAGAACATCAATTTACTCACATCCAATGGTATCTGTTTATTCACAAACGACAACGCATCCAATGGGTCGAATGTTAACCTCTCCATGCAGCACTGGATATGTTGTTCTAGAGACGAGCGATGTAACATATTTGCGCTTACGCGAGTTTATAAACAAATTGACTGATATGTACTATTATTATTCGTGTTAACGTCTCTTGGACTCCAAATCCAAAAATGAAACTGAAACGTAAAGCATTATGACAACAATTTTTGCATTCATGTACTTCAATTTGAACGTTGCCGTCGGCAATTTGTTGCTTGGTACTAACAACGATAAATCGTTCTACATACCCAAAATATGAATCTGTTTTTATTCTATTCGAATCCATAAATTCGCAATGTATGTATGTTTTGTGTTTTCATTTCCTTTTTTTTTGAAAATTAATTGAAACTGAAAGAAGAAGAGTTGGGGATATTTTTGAAAGAAAAATTATGGAATTTTATTTTATTTTAAAAAAATATGGTTTCTCACAACAATCATACATTTGTTTTTGATCAAATTAATTATTATAACTGCACACAAAAAAATCAACATAACTTTTTAAACGATTGTATCGTTTAATGTTGGATTCAAACGATAAATTCATCTTTTAAACGGTAAAATCGTTTAATATCTTCAAATTTAAACGAATTAATCGTTTAAAAGATGAATTTATCGTTTGAATCCAACATTAAACGATACAATCGTTTAAAAAGTTATGTTGATTTTTTTGTGTGTGATTTTCTTAAAATTAATTATAGGTTCAGTCTTTAAAATAAATGCACATTGACAGTGAGGTAAACATTTCGCATTATATTCTGAGAAATGTGATATATGTTTGTATTTGAGCTCGGTAAATGACGCTACACAAATAATGTGGCATGTAAAAAATGAATGGAATAAAAAATGCAAATTTATTGTTTATTTGAGACCGTTTGAGACCTTTTCCAAAAGAAGATAATATTCATTCAATTAAAAGAAAGCGAAAGAATGAATTTACTCTGAATTGAATTCAAATTCAATTCCAACTGCATTGTTCTCATTTGTGTAATTCTGAATCTGATCAAATTTATATTTCACTGTATTTTTCCAATGGTCAAAAAAATTGATATCGAAATTTTTAAGCAGATCAATGTCTGAACCGATCAAATTTCGACCAAAAAGTGTAAGTCCATTTGGAAAATGAACTTCTGAATTAAGAATTTTCTTCTGCAATCTTTTTTTAAATTTCCGTTGGTATTTGTCGTAATCAAATGGGCCGTGCACTTCTCTTTCGTGCATTAACAGTTCAATGAACTCTTCGCTTCGAAAGGTTTTACATTTTTGGCATGAAAATCCTTTGGTTTGATGAAAAAAGAACTCGTTACGATTAGCAAGTGTGATTTGTGCACGTAGCTTACGTAAATTTTCGGATGATATACGCAAAGGATTGAATACTGACGAACGTGTGGCGAGCGGATGGCGCATTTTGGAATGGATATTACTGGCGTTGCCAGTGTAACTGCAAAGAGCACATTTGGTATCGTCCGAATGGCTTACGATGGAAAATATTTCCTTGGGATGGACTTTCTGGTGGTGGCTATTTAATTCTCTCCACGTTCCAACGTAGTCACAATTTAAACATTTTGCCTTCTCAAAAGCATAGTAACTAAATGGCAGCAATTTATGCCTCTTTTCACAATGACGGCGAAGCGATTGTTCACTGTGAAATCGAATCGATTCGCCGTTCTGTTTGCAGAAATAACAGTAAAAGAGGATACCTGCGGATTCAGCTTCTTCGGAAGTGACTGCAATGAAAAATTGAAGAGAATTAAAACAAGTTGGAGCAACGGTGAATGTTATTGGCAAAACTCACTCAATTTTGGAGCATGATTTGTTTCTTCAACGATGCATTCCGTGGAATTTGCGGCGAGAACGCTGTTGGCCGCATTTGAATTGTCTGAAACGAAGAGCCATGGTAATAATCAGTCCATATTTAAATATTGATGAGAAATTCTAATAAAATTAATTGAAAATTAAGAGTTAAAAGCATATATAGACTTACCGTTTTGATTGATCATGGTTTCTTGTTCGCGGCATGTCGCTTCCTTTAACCTTTCACCGGTGTTTTGGCTTGTTTCTTGTTCGCGGTAGGCCGGTTCGGTCGTCTTGTCATCGTTGTTTTGATTTGCTTGTTGCTCACAGCCTGACGGTTCCATCGACCTTTCTCCGATGTTTTGATTGGCTTCTTGTTGGCACCCTGTCGCTTCAGTTGCTCGTTCGCCGATGTTTTGACTTGCTTCTGTTGCGCGTCCTGCCGATTCGGTCGACATTTCCTCTGTATTTTGACTTGTTCCCCGTTCTCGACCTACCTCTACATTGAGTACTTTTTCAATGGTTTGGTTTACAAATTGGGCTCCAAATTCTCTAACTACTGTTATCGCGGCGGACAGAAATTGATGGAGAAGTGCAGAGGTTTCTTCATTCGGGTTTCCAACGCTTTGTTCACCATTTCCGCCTGTAAAAAGAATCGAATTGTTAAGTGTCGTTCAAAATTATTTATCACCGTAATAATGAGCGATATTCTAAAAAAATGCTTCAAAGATGACAATTACCCGCACTATTGCCAAAAAATTCATTTGTACGAGTCATCTTTTTACGTGCATGACTCTTTGAATTTCGGATGATGATTTTCGGTACATGTTTCTCACCTGATGTCGAAGGTTTCATCAAAGTTGAAGTGTATGCTGGTTTTCCGTGAATGCCTCCCTTTAATTTTTTTGTTACTTTATGTTCGCCGACGAATTTTCTTTTACCGCTTGTATTCAAGTCACTTTCACCACTTGTTTCGGTTAATTTGGGATCATTTTTTGGGAACACTTCGAACGTTTCGTCGATGCTGTAAAAAATCAAATTATTAATTAACTGATAAGGTTTGGCTTGAAGCCGAAAATGGACATACATTTGTTTCGATTCTTCGCAAAGATATTGCACGAATTTATTATCAAGTGTATCTTTCGTGGTTTTGATGCATTTCGGTAGCTTATGCTCAAGCCTATCTAAATACAAAATTTTTTGGTTGATATCTTTGGATTTGGAGTTGTAATTTTTGAGCTCCGGTAGTTTTATGTTTTGCCCAGATGTTTCTTTTATGGAACGCGGAATTGTAGTTTTTATGCTGAAAATTGAGGAAAATTGTATTTTTGTAATTTAAGTCCTTTTTAAACGAATCGTTTGAACAATAAATCCATCCTACCGTTTAACGGTGAGATGTTTGATGTCTTTCTTAAATCCAGCGTCCTTTTTACCTAAGGGGAGAATCACAAAAGAAAAGAATTAATTTAAAATAATCGACAAATAATCGAAAAAGAATCAATAACAATTATAAAAAAATAGAAAGGCAATTTTTAAGTGAATTGCCCCTTGTTTTTACCCTCTATCCCTTCCAAAAGTTCATTTACCAGAAGACGGAGCTCGTTGCGCCATTTCAGCATATCGCGTTTCGAGTACTTTTTCATGGTTACTGTATCACTGCAAAAAGAATTATTTTCGTTGGGCATGAGTAAAATTACGATTTTTGGGAACAAATGCGATGCTTGAGTCGACACAAAGAATATTTTATAAGAAAAATTCAAAGAAAACAGTTTTCATTCCGATGGTATTATTTATAGAATCAATTTCATTCGACATTAAATTACCAAATTTTATTTTCGATTTGACTTGTACGCAATATCAAAGTATCAGATTCACAAAGTGTTAAAAAATATAGGTTTCTTTGTTCGAATCTCCATGAAATTCATTAAAAAAACTAAATTTGTTCGACGATTTCATTTCGCTTTCATTTGTTTTTATGCGCATTCTTCACACACTAACAAGTTTACTGTGATCACTAGTTGCGCCTTTCATATATACATATGAGTTTTTCCATCGAATAGCGTGACGAGAAACTAATATAAAAGCGAATACGGTTACAGCGCAAATGCTTTTGAATTCACATACACAAGAGAAGACTTAATGTCCAGCCTCTCAGAATCTGAGCACTATAGCGACATGCATTATACTTCGCTCAATATACAGCGCAAACCGTTTACACCATATACTCAGTCCGCCGCTTATTATGTACAGAAAGAAAACAATCTACACATTCAAATATGCCGTGATACACGCACAGTAACGATATAATAGTTGTGATAATACGGCAGCGAGACTAGAACGCTTTCAGTCAAGTGTTTATTTAGCGGAATACATTCACATGTACACTTCACGCCGACACAAAACTTTTTTTTTTCATTCTACCAATAATATATCACACCAAATCACTAATTTTACTATATTCACTAGCAAATTCTGTTTTTTTTTTTGCATTAATCCCCACTTAACTGACCAAAAACACCGATTTTCATATCATGATATTTTGAAACAGTATTATGACCTATCGTTTTATCGATGGAAGATTTTAATTAGTTGAAACTACTATTTGCTGAGAATGATATATACTGGATATATAATAAATGCGGCGAATTTTGTTGGTCTTCACATTATGGCAGTCTATATGTGAATGATATTGTAAGAAGAATGAAGAGTTTGTGCACGTAATTTTATTCATATTCGTTCAATTGCTTCCGCACACATCGGCCCGTATCTCTCACACATACATCCAGTTTTACTTTTCCGCACACACCTAGTGTGTAAGGAAATGTATTGGAATCGATCGAAAAATTAGTTTGGCAAGAAAATAAGATTTACAAGTTTTCACTGTGATTAAATTACTGTAACTACACATTTTGGGAAAAAAACCCGACCAATTTCGAATCAATGTTTGTTTGAAGTAATTTAATCACCATAAAAACGTGTAAATCTTATTTTCTTGCCAAAATACACAATCTCGGCCAATTTGAAAAAAGCTTAATACAATTTTGTATGGATTGTACCCCTAAATTGTATTGACAAATCTTCAAACTTTTAGAATGTTAGCTTTTGGGCATGGCTCCCATACAAAATTCACATTTTTAGTAATTTTTGTATGAAAAGTGAGTCGAAAATTATTTGTATCGCATGTTGTGGATCACAGTGCGGAAAAGTTCATCTTACGGATGTAAGACATTTTATTTTTTTGAATTTCTTCATTTTATTACGAGCAGTGCCATCTGTTGATCGATGGAAACCGAATGAATAGAAACTTTTAATGAAGTCCAAAACAGTTGTTTACAAACTTTGATTTTTAAATTCGAAACGGATCAGAGGTCATGCCAAATCGGAGTCAAATTTCTATGAAATCTAATCATAAATTGACAAATGATTAATATATTTCGTTCTTATCGCCATTCTCTGGAACAGTGATACCTATAATCTGTGAAAACATATATTTTTTTTTCAATTTTAAATACTGTAAATCGACTATTATCACCAAAAACCGTTCTTTCATTGAAATAAAATCAATGCCACACTCAGCCATATTTCTATGATCTCCTTCTATTTCGCACTAATATCAATAAGTAAAAAAACACTTCTTTCGAAGTTCCCAGTGTGACGCAATACTGTAAATCTAAAAATATTCTGATATAAATTTTTAGTGACGCATTCACTCAAATATGCAGAGTATCCTGATTTGCTGCTGCTCAGCATATAGCTGAGAGCTGAGAAATGCTGAGCTCGTGCGGCTAACGCATACGAAACGGATGCACGATACATATTCCCCTTTCGCTTCGTATGTGCTGCCGTTGACGCTATTGCCGGTACAACGGTTACACACTATACCAGCGAACATACGTATGCGTTAGACGTACACTTTCAGAATATATGAAAGACTGAGAGCAAAAACAGCACGTCGCATCTCATCTCTTGCTTTCACTTACGTAAGCAAAATAACGAGGGATGCGACGTTTTTCTCGCAGCTTCTCATATGTCGGTCGCAACACAATTTCAAACTCAACTGGTTACTAAGTTTTGAGTTTTGAATTGAACGTCCAATCAACTGTTTATAACCGTTTAAACGGGGAGAATGCATGTGTGCGTGCCATCCGTTTCGTATGCGTTAGCCGCACGAGTTCAGCATTTCTCAGCTCTCAGCTATATGCTGAGCAGCAGCAAATCAAGATGCTCTGCAAATATGTACAAAATGTTATTATTGCGTCGCCTCTTTCGCCGCAAAAAAATATGGAAACGTACACTCTTTGTAAAAATAACTAAACCGTTCTCTTTAAAATTGTATATAGTTGCAGCGGCTTAGTATTTTTTATGGACAGCAGATTTTTCGTTCAAAGTGAAAAACATAAGTTATTCAAAAGACGCTCTTCTAACTTTTAGACATGTCAATCATTTTACTTTTCCGCACACACCTAGTAAGTATTGGAATCGGTCGAAAAATTAACAACCATCAAAAATGTGTTTTCTGGGTGTTTTTGGGGTCAGGGAACACGAATCAGTCGTTTTTTCGATGTCCGAATGTATGTGCGTACCCTGTACCCTGTACGCAAAAATTTGTTAACACGATAACTTTCAAACAAGAAAAGTAATTCAAAATCTGACTTCACAGGATGATTTGGGGTACCGAGGAATAGAAACCATTAGATTTTGAGCGACTTTGGTTGACAGAGTAAAGTGTCATGTCTGGTGTGATGCCCATGGCCATCCATGGAAAAAATTCAATTTTTCTTCCAAAAGTGATATTTAATGTATTCTTAAACACTTAAAAATAAAACCGAATATGACGTTAGTTTTGCGATACAAATATATTTCAACACACTTTTCATACAAAAATTTCAAAAAAATTGGATTTTTGTATGAAAGCCATGCCTGTATGAGCTGATACTTTGCACAGGTTATTTTTATCACACAAAAATGCCATTCCGAGAGTTTGAAGACATTTCAAGGCATATTAGGGGTACCTCCCGAACAAAATTTTGGATTTTTCACTCAAAAACGAAATGTTGTATGGGCATTTTTAGTAGTTTTTGTATGAAAAGTGCTTCGAAAATTATTTGTATCTTAAAACTAATGTCAGATTCAGTTTTCTCGTGAATTCTTTGAGTAAAAGGTTTGTAATAAATGGATGTTGTGGATCACGGTGCCGAAAAGTTCATCTTACGAATGTAAGACATTTTATTTTTCTAATTTTCATACCGTTTTCGTTAAATTACAGAAATAATTGAACAATTTCAGTTTTATTTAAAAAAAAAGTTTGTTTCTTCGTACAACATACAATCAAATCTATTTGTATATTCGCTCGTGAATACATTAGCGAAAAGGGATCATAATGTGATGAGAAAATGCAGTGGCAAAATTGGTTGATTTGGTTATATCTCAAAGACTAACTTTATTCAAGGATTGGGGTGGTTTATACACAAAATCTGTGCCGGTACAATTGCACGACTATATTTTATATCCCATGGTTATCGTGACTACAGAAGGTACGATTATGTTTATAACTGTCGTGACCATAGAGAATGGTTACGACTCTTACTTTATTATATCATGATATCGTTAGAGTTCAAAATCGTATAAGATCAACAAAATTGTTTTATAATTTCCAGAAAATGACGTTTACAAGCCGATTATTACGTTTGTTGCGTTTAATGCAAATTCTCGATTATATAATACCACATTACGTTCGGAACAAAGTAAAACGAATCACGTGATTAAACTCTTTCAAATTTATGAACAGAACAAATTTATGATTTTTTCATTTATTATCAGTAATTTTGTGGTTAGGTTACCAAGAAACTAAGTAAGTAAATAAAATGTCTTACATCCGTAAGATGAACTTTTCCGCACCGTGATCCACAACATCCATTTATTACAAACCTTTTACTCAAAGAATTCACGAGAAAACTGAATCTGACATTAGTTTTACGATACAAATAATTTTCGGAGGACTTTTCATACAAAAACCACTAAAAATGGGAATTTTTGTATCGCAGCCATGCCTATATGATATCGTAATCATGTGAAAATGTGCAGAGGTTATTTTTGTTCACAAGAAGTTAACATTCTTAAAGTTTGAAGAAATTTCAATACATATTAAGGGTACTTCCCATACAAAATTCCGTTTTTAAGCGAAAAACGTTGAAATGTCTTCAAACTCTCGAAATGGTATTTTTTGGTGATAAAAATAACCTGTGCAAAGTTTCAGCTCATTACGATATCATACAGGCATGGTTTCCATACAAAAATCCAAATTTTTTGAAATTTTTTGAAATTTTTGTATGAAAAGTGTATCGAAAATTATTTGTATCGCAAAACTAACGTCATATTCGGTTTTCTCGTACCCAAAAACCCCCCAAAACATATTTTTGAGTGTTTAAGAATACATTAAATATCACTTTTGGAAGAAAAATCAACCAAAGTCGCTCAAAATCTAATGGTTTCTATTCCTCGGCATCTTCAATCATCCTGTAAAGTCAGATTTTGAATTACTTTTCTTGATTGAAAGTTAACGTGTTAACAAATTTTTGCGTACAGGGTACCACGCGTATACATTCGGACATCGAAAAAACGACTGATTCGTGTTCCCTGACCCCAAAAACACCCAGAAAACACATTTTTGAAGGGTGTTAATTTTTCGACCGATTCCAATACTTTACCTTACACATTAGGTTTGTGAGGAAAAGTAATACGCTTTTTATTCGTTGTACTCTTATCAGTGAACTAGATTTTGCCAAATACAAAAATGAATTACGATACTTATCTTATATGTGAAGGTGTCATAATTTCGTAAACGAATTGTGAACGTGCGTATAAATAAGCTTTGAAACCACTCTATTTTCATAGTTCAGTAAAGTTCATACAGTAAAGAGAACATCTCAACAAAAAGCAAACTTTTATATATTTTTTTCCAAGTTTCGTTAGAGAAAAAAATGTGGAAAATCCGTCAGTTAAAACAATTCAAATCACCAACTTATAGAACACTAACCATACTTGCCGATGGAAACGGAACAAATAACAATAAAGTGTTTTGTTCGCGTATTACTTTGGATTTTGAAAATCCAGAATCACCCCTTCCATTGAGCGAGGTGAACAAAACAAATTTAAAGAATTATCAATTTCCCGTAATCAAAATAAGCTACGATCGAAACGACGTCGTGGAGCATGCAAAATCTATCGGAATCAAGGCTGACAACAAATATGCCGATTTGTATTTGAACCAATCGCATAAAAAATTTCAAGTTCTTCCATCGTTTTTACTTCCATTTTCGAATAAAATTTTGATCGATCTGTGCTCATTTCCGTCAACAGCTTGGAAATTGTCATTCGAGCATTTACTTCATGGTGAACACTACATACAACAACTCAAACAATTACCTCCGGAAGGAATCGTCAATCTAAAAATTAAAACATCGGATGTAATGGACAAAGGAAAAGGAACATTGTATTGCTTCAACATGAATATATATGATGAAAATAATGGTGAAACGTATTTTACAATGGATTATCACATACTCGAAGTTGGAACGGGTGGATTCATCGGAAATAAATCAAATCCTCACATGACTCGTAAAGTAACACCACCAAACAGCAATTATAATCCGCCGGATTCGATACTGGAATTCCAGACGTTCATTCCGAAGGATGGCATCAAGACTGAATTGTCAGATTCCGATTTGAATATGCCGTGTTACTCTTCCTTACATCCGCATCAGCGTTATGGAACGAATTTTGAATTTCTAAGGAGTCCAATAGCACACGGAAGATATACGTTTGCCGGAGTTATGAAAAGTATACTTTTCAAATATGCAAATGGAAATGTAGAAAAGTTTAAAGCCGCAAAAGTCCGTTTTGCTAAGCCAGTATATCCAGGCGACAACATTCTGATAAGTACCTGGAAAGCCGATGAGTCGAGGATAACTTTTCAGGGTGATGTTAAACGAGACGGAGAAAATATAAAAGTTCTTACCGATGGTTACATTGATTTGGACATGTAGACCAGCAACGATTGTATTGGTGCATATTTTACATTTTTTTTTGCATCATATCATCATTTTTATAATTGCTATTTACATTGTCACTTATGAGATTTGTAATGCTAAAATACCATTTTTCTCTGTTTTTAATTTTTAAATGTTCAAAACACAGTGTGCGCAATATCGCATCTTTTTGAAGTTTGTTTCTCATGATCTGACATACAATTACAACAAAACAATAGAGAATATTTTGTATTTAACATTGAAATGAAAAAAATCATGAATATGTTTTAAAAAAAATACGTGTTTGCAGTTTTACTTTTCCGCACACACCTAGTGTAAGGTAAAGTATTGGAATGGGTCGAAAAATTAACACCCCCAAAAAACATGTTTTCTGAGTGTTTTAGGAGCCAGGGAACACGAATCTAGCGTTTTTTCGATGTCCGAATGTATATGTGTGGTGCCCTGTACGCTGTACGCTAATATTTTTAATAATATTCAAAACGTTGCAGGAATTCTCTCCTTTTTACTTTGAGTTCATACTGACGCAATGGCGCAACGTTCCGAATTTACAAATGTATATTAAGTTTATATTCACAGTACACAGAAAATATATCTACCAACTATTTTCGTCACAAAATTGATATCAGAAATTTTGTGTTTCAAATTTTGGTTTCGTCACTCGTTCGTCACCTCGATAGAGGTTTTTTATTTGATATCAATAGTTTTGTAAGCGCTATTTTCAATGTTAAAGATTCAAGAAACATGAATTTGAATCTTTTTCAAATACAATGAAAATATGGATTTTTAGGTTATTTCTGGATCAAAATCATATAAATTGTGGTTCATAATTCAAGTGTCTATTTTTAAAAGTGGCCGTTATGTGTGCGGCCAACGGTTTTTGGCCAATTTGGCCACCCCACATTGAAATTTTTGGACCGCAAATGGCACCATTCAATAGCTCACTTCAAGATCTTTCCAATGATTTGCATATGTCCGGGAGGTGTCAAGTCATGGCGCTTCGGTGACCATTGGAAAAAAAAGGCGAAAAGTGACTTTTTGAGGCCGGCCATGGCCAACAACTTTCGACTGTATTTCTGCTGTTACATGGCAAGCATATATGAAACTCTCGGAGATTCGATTAATGCACAAAAATATTGAAAACATTTTTTGTGTGTTTTCGACTGTATTTCTGCTGCTACATGGCAATTATTATGAATTAAATTGATATTAATCTCGGAGACACTGCATAATGCACAAAAATATCGCCATTTTAAACAAAATTTCATATTTCCGTACTTTCAACCACTCACTAGTTTTTAATATTAAATTAAAAGGACTTACCTTTCTATTTTAAATGAATTAAACTTTACGCACCAACGCTTGAACTCAAACTAATCTCTTCTAAGAAATAAAATTGAAATGTCCATCGGCATATTGTGTTCCAACACAGGCTTTAGTCCCAAATTTGTGAATGAGTAGAGTACAATGAAAGATCATAAAACAATAAAAGGGACCTTTTCTTTTTACCCACATACTTAAAACCATACGGAAAGTCCTTACCTACATATTTCTTAACTTCCATTGAAAATAGTTTCTGTTCATAAGGAAGCAATAAAGAAGTCAATAAAACAGGCAAAAACTCAAAAAGTGAATAAATATTTTGTTCCGTTTTTTTTAAAGTTACATTTTGGTTACCGTCAATATGTTCAAAATGTCAAAAGATGAAGATTTTTGTACAGGAAATGTACCATGAACGAATTCAAACGCAAAATAAATGTCATATTCGGTTTTCTCGAATAAAAAACTCCAAATACAAATTTTCATAGCAATCGAATGAAAAACCAATTTACTCCAAAATATCATTCCAAAAAAATGGTTTCAAGCCGAAAAATCTCATAAAAGCGGACCAATTTCTCAAAATGGTTGCCACCATTGAATTCCTCGGGTCCGAATTATGTAAAATCAGTTGTCAAAGTGAACCAACAAAGTAAAATTTTCTCCAAAATTTCTTTATTGCTTCATCAAGATGAGCTTAATATCTTTTCAATAAGCTAAGGATGACGTATACCTGTGATCAAGTTTGAGTCTTTTGACCATTTTTGGCGGATTGACCACATGAACGAATGCTTTCCATTTCAACATTTTATTTCAATTAATTTCATTTTTGCATACGCATGTTCTTGAAAAGTGTCGAATAAGTGCTACTTTCAACGCCGGTAATAGCATAACAACGAAGGAATCATACGGTTGAACAATAGAAACAAATATTATGTATGTTATTTTGTTCGCAATCGATGCTGTGTTATGCTATGAATCACAGCGCTTGTTTGTTGTTGTTGTTGTACCCATATGTTCATGAAGCTTTAACAGAAATCTTCGAAACGAATAAATAGCGAATATAATTTATTCAGTGGCACGAGTCCGGTGGTTTGTTGTGATAAGCCGCACATGTCGATGTTTTGACGAAAATTATTCTTTTGAACAGGTAACACACTGACTTAATTTTTTTTTCATCTATTTTGATTCGGTTTACACACATCCAATTTAAGCGGTCAGCGCATTTTATTTCGCTTCGATTTGATTTCATTCATTTTTGCTTGACCTTGATTTTTCTAGATTCGTTTTAAATGTATGCTAATGAGCGATAGCTGTGTCGTTTTTTTCTCTCTCTCTCCTTTCTCGTATGAGTTTATTGATCTCATATTGCATGTTATCGTCGCCATAGCGGCGATTATGTTTTTTGTTTCGATTCATTGACGACTTTATCGAAGTGAGAAAAAAAACGAGAGCGTCCGAAACAACAAATAAAGTTGACGAATTCCAATGATCACAATTTGAACATTGTTAAAAGAGAACTCTCGGCTAGACAATTTAATTATAAGAATTAAAGAAACGTTTTGAAGTAGAAAAAACAATTCGATGTTACATAAATTCGATCATCAGTTTAATGGCAATTTCATCCGGTGAAATGTTAAGCAAGCAAATCAAATGCATTGAATTTTTTTAAAATAAAGACAGAATTCAGTTGAATGTAAGCAGACTATTTTGAAATGTTTGTATTAGCTCATGCTTTGGTATGTGTGTAATATTACGAAGCAGCAAACGCACACAAATAATTGACAAATACATACGTATGAGTGTACTTAGTTTCTCACATTACTTCTCATTTTTCTTTGTTAAACTTTGTGTTGTCCCTTCTGCATATTATGGTGAAATTTATTTCGAAAAATTATTTCGAAAAATGAAGACAAATAAAATTTAACCATAATATACACAGAGAGAGAGAGAGATAGAAATGAATTACTCAGAAAAAAATCATTAGGTACAATGATGATTTGTTTGGCGAATGTTTTTTTACCACGAAGTGTGTGTGAATGTGCTTAAACTACAATTACACATACTTTATGCAAAAATTCAAAACAAACAAATCATCATTGAACCAGATGTATAGAGTATTTTCTGTTGAGCCCCACTTTCTCTCTGATTCGTTCTCTCTTCTTTTCAATTTGTGTCTGTTTTAAAAATGGAATAGAGAGAGAAAGTGAGAGAGAGAGTACGGAAGAGAGAGAAAGAGAACACACTCTCCCAAGCGACCTACGACAAAACTGTGTATGGCCAAGAACCACATATCGTTTTGGGAATTTTTCCTCTAATGGTTTATTTGAGAGTGGGTCATAATTTATGACACATAAAAAAGGTCCGGAAGAAATTTGAAAACAAGCGTTTGTTCAATGTTCGGGAATTTATCATATTAAAGTAGAGAGATAGAGAATTGGCAATTTGAAATGAATAGGCGACTGAAAAACCATAAAAGTTGAAGGCTTCCATTATTGCATTCAAATACATTTGCATTTTACATAATGTTTACATATGACTGTGTGTTTGAAGACTTGTGTATGTTGTTGTGTCGAATTTTGTCAGTTAGTTAAATTTATATGTATTCTCTATTCTGCGCCTCTTTCAGTTTGTGTTGTGGCTTTGACAAAAATTGCTTTACAAAATACACTCAAAAATATTCAATTTTAAGTTCTCAGTGTGATTTTTCCTTTAAAAAAACTTACTTTCAGTTCCGGTTTGTATGAATGAAAAATTTTAGTGTGTTTTTCCACCAATATAAACATTCATTTTAAATACATTGAAGTGTACGTTGTTTTGTATCTTATTTTACTAATTTGAATTCAACAACAAATTGATATTTTCAATTATATATTATATAGTATATAACGAAATATGGTATGTAATATGACTGTTGCAATACTTCGGCTTAAATAGATGAAATTGCATTTTTTTTTTAAACAAATGACATTTTTCAGGATAACCAAGGTGACATTTGTTGGAAGTGCCACAAAGGAGGAATAACATTGAAATGCTCTTCCTGCATACGACCATATCACATTAACTGTGTGAAGGCCACAAATATGAGTAATATCAAAATTTGGCGTTGCGAAGATTGCACCTCAAAAGACACGTAAGACAGTGTTTGTTTTGCTTTAAAAAGTGATTTGAACGCACTGAAATTGGTGTGAATTTGCTTATATTTTCAAGGCCTGAAGAATTGAAACGGATCCCAATCATTATCAAAGGACGGTTGAATTCAAATTTTGATGAAACTTTTTTTGGGCACCAAAATTTATTGAACTCGACGAAGGAAAGTCTCTTCAATTCGACCATGATACCATTGGTGCAAAACATAAAAATAAAAGCAAATTCTTACCAAAATTTTAATGACCTCATTGCTGACTTCGAGTTTGTCGTACATAAGTGTGAAACGTTGTTATCAGGTTAGTTTATACAGGAAAAACAATTGTTTAAACATATGTCCATTTCAAAAAAATAGTATTTTCAAACAAGATCCACTTGTTCTCTCATAAATACGCATAAATAGAAAAAATAAATAAAATTTCACTTAAATTTCAGATAAACATAACAAAACGAAATATGCAATAAAACAGTTGGGCTTTTTAAAGGTGGAAATCGACAGTGTGAAAAAATGCATTCAATGTCATATTCATGCGAACGATATCGTCACGCGGCCAAATTGGTTCACAATGGTGTGCGATAGGCCGCATATAATTGTTTGGGCGAAGCAATCGAAAAAATATCTGCCCGGCAAAGTTATGTGTGCTAATGAACAAGGAGTGAATGTTCGTTTCTTTGGTGGCACGCTGGAGTATCGTCTGAATGCCAATGTCCACAAATGTTTGTTGTACTCTAAACAAAGTCTAAACAATACAAGTACTGAGCAAAGTTCGGAATACACAAAGGCTTTGAAGGTAGTTGCATTTTAATTTCACTTCGTTAAAATATTTTTAGAAGGGATGAGTGTTCAAAGTTTTAATTTAATCAAAAAAAATTCCATATTTAACAGGAGGTCGATGAATATATCAAGAATTTGATATCAAAATTTGGTGCATTCAATTACGCGAAACCAAACACATCATTCGATCCCATGTTACTCGATCAGTATGTTTATAACATGATGAATCCCACAACAACTCCGGAGCCTGAATTAAGGCCGAGGGGCCGAAAAATCCATGAAATCGGTAAAAATTACGATGAACCATCTGCCAAACGATATGCATATGCAAAAAATCGGACTTATACTCCTGAATCCGATGAAGCAAACAACAATTCAGTTGAAGATGAAGAAAACATGGCTGTCGAATCAACATCGAATGAAAACGGCGGAAAACAAACTGAAACATCGATAGAAAATGATCGAATGAAAATGACGGAGAATCAACATCGAATGAACATGCTTTTGTTCCAAGATTTCAATCAATGTTTCATGAAATTGAATCAAGATTGGAGAGAAGCGAATGAAACAATTGAATCGATGAAAGAGCAGCACAAAACAGAACTGTCACAATTGATAGCTGAAAAGGAAATACTGGCAAAACAACTGCGTGATATGAATGGATTATACGAACAAAAAATCAACGAATTGGTTGTAAAGGAAGAAGAATACAAGAAAGCAATCGAAGAAGCAAAGAAAACCAGGTTTTGTTTGGTATGCAAGAGTGAGGCTCCCGACTTTTATCTCTGCGATGCCATTTGCGCTGAAAAATTTAGGTTACCATTTTTCTTACCAGTTTATACAAACATTTTTATTTTTAACCAAATATTTTCATCCATTTACAGGGAAAGTGCTGCACATTAAGAGGAAATGTGCATCTAAAAATGAGCCGAGGTCAATTAAGCCCATCAAAAATTTCACTTTTTCATTCTTTCAATTAAGTAATTAAGTAAAAAAAATTGTAAGAATTACTATCACTGCACTCTTTGACATTCACTAGAATATAATATCCAATATCAGGAAATTGAATTATATGTATTTGTCATTATCTCACCAGTAAAGTGCACAAAGTGTCACAAAAAGTTATTAATTTCACCTATACAGATCGATGTAAAGTGCCGAAAAAATAAGAACATATTTCAATGCGGAACGCGGCATTCTCAACCCTGACTAGCATTATATGGGCTTCTGTGTTATTCTGCCGAACTCCGCTCAACGTGGCGCCATCTCTATACACGACGTTGAAGTAATAAAAGTTTTTGTGTATTTCTCAAGTTTGAGAGAAATCGCATATTTACATTCATTTTAGTTGCGTTGAATTGTAATTTAATAACTGGTAATAAAAAATGTCAACAAAATCAAAGAGAAGAATTATAGAAGTCACAACAGTTATTATATACATATTTATGGTTTACTACCGCCAATTTAAGTCATATGAAACGCCTTTTTATTCGGTCTTCTCTTCATTACAAAAAAAATTATATAAATATATACACATAGCGTAGAGCATGTATTTCTTTCGACGTGAAATTTCGTAGCATTTAAAATCTGATTGCAAATTTCACTTAAAATTAATCGAGCACACTTAGCAATTTTATTGATGAAAAAAATTTAATTTAATATAAAATCTCAAAACATAGTACCATACAAAATGACAATTTGTTTACATGCTCATCGTTGACAGCCGGTATATGTGATGACATAAACCAAAGTGAAATGCTCATGTATTTGTGCGAATAACATTGCTCTCATTGGATCACATGTTCAAAATTCTTAACGTTGATTCGTTTGCTTATGCGCATTGTGCATGTATGTAGCGACGCTCAACAATCAATATTCAAATACATGCGAATACATGTGCACTTCATTTCGGTTTTTGTCATTCTACTGTTCGTGTAGAAAAACGTTCGTGTGAGTGACAACATTGATTGTTTTCATTCCACTGTTTTCTCTCTCTTGTGTATTGTTTTGTTTCTATTTTATTTTATTTTATTGTGTTTTAAATTGAATATCATTTTAAAAATTATTTATTACTTAAATGTTTTTAAAAAAATTGAACAATTTATTAAATTACAATTGAGAAATACACAAACAAATCTATAACTTAGATTTTGTGTAAAGAGATGGTGCCAGTAGTAGAGCTTTTTTCAAAAAGTCAAATGTAAGTGGGACTTGGGCATTCTTCGATAAAAAGAGGGAGAGCCTCTTTGATCGTATTAGTCGTAGTTTGTCCCACAACTCTATTTATAATCCAATCGAAATAAAAAGTCTTACGGGAGTAAGACGAACTTTTCCGCACTGTGGTAGTTGCGTATTTTATTAAGAAAGTTCAAAATAATATTTGCTCGATTCTTCAAGTCTTTCAAGCGGCGTAAAGTTCGAGACCAAAAAATATGTTTCAACTTTGGCAACGAAATATTTTTTAATTTAATAGCAGAAGTACCCGAGAAAAGATTTTTCACACTTTCATGATGAACCCATTTGTACGACATTTGAAAGTATTCTATTTTCTAACAAAATACTATAAAAAATATGTCTGACGTTAATTTTGCCATAAAAATTATTTTTGAAACACTTTCCATAACTAAAGTCACAAAAAATTTGGATCTTTGTATGGGAGCCATGTCTGTATGCTATATTAATGGTGTGAAACTTTGCACAGGTTATTTTTTCACAAAAAAATAACATTCGTAGGGTTTGGAGAAATTTCAACCAAAATTAAGGGTACCTCCCATACAAAATATTCGTTTTTGAGCCAAAAATTTAAAATTTTGTATGGAAGGTACCCCTAACTTTGATCGAAATCTCTTCAAACTTTCAGAATGTTATTATTTTGTGTAAAAAATAGTCTATGCAAAGTTTCACGTCATTAAAGTATCATACAGGCATGGCTCCCATACAAAAATTCAATTTTTTTGTGACTTTTACAAGGAAACTGTATTAAAAAATATGTCTGACGTTAATTTTGCCATAGAAATTATTTTTGAAACACTTTTCATAACTCACAAAAAAATAACATTCGGAAGGTTTGGAGAAATTTTAACCAAAATTAAGAGTACCTCCCATGCAAAATATTCGTTTTTGAGCCAAAAATTGAAAATTTTATATGGGAGGTACCCCTAATTTTGATTGAAATCTCTTCAAACTTTCAGAATGTTATTTTTTTGTGTAAAAAATAGACTGTGCAAAGTTTCACGTCATTAAGGTAGCATACAGGCATGGCTCCCATACAAAAATTCATTTTTTTTGTGATTTTTTCAAGGAAACTGAATTAAAAATTGATTGTATCTCAAAACTAACGTCGGATTCGGTTTTCTCGTGCCAAAAAACCCCCCAATACATATTTTTGAATGTTTAAGTCCACATTAAGTATGACTTTTGGACGAAAATTGGACTCTTTTTCATAGGTATCACTCCAGGCATGACATTTTTTCCCATCAACCAAAGTCGCTCAAAAGCTAATGATTTCTATTCCTCGGGACCCCCAATCATCCTGTAAAGTCAGATTTTGAATTAAGTTTCTACGATGAGCGCAATCTTGCTAACAAATTTTGCGTACGACGTACAACGTACGACGTACGACGTACGACGTACGACGTACGACGTACAGATTAACATAAACCATGCTCAAAACGGCCTGATTCGGGTTCGCTGACCTCAGAAACGTCCAGAAAACATGTTTCTGAAGTTTTCAAAATTTTGACCGATTACAATACTTTTCACCTTACACTATGTGTGCGGAAAAGTAAAAATACATTTCCGCCTTCTTTTGAGCACACACACATCTTATTGGGTATACGACATTCGAGTGCTTTGACAAAGGCCATTCAATTTAAGATAAATGTTTTTTTAGTTACACACATTTGCTGTATACATATCACATATTAACACAAAATAATTGTTGGTAGGTATGGCCATCTAGATGGCCATCATACAAGTATGTGTTTTGAAAATGAAATAAAGATAAGATCTTCATTGTGTTCATCACATTCACAGTGAGTCAATCGTGTAGCGCCATAGCCATTGAAGCTACAAAAAGTGTAAATAATGATTCTCTTTTCTGTTTATTCTCCCATTCAACGCATTCTGCTTTCATCTGTTTCAATAACAAAAAATCACACCTGTTCTCATAACAGAGGCAACATTTAAAATGACACACACCTTCAATATAGTATTTCAATGGTTCTAACTGAATAACAATGCTTTCGAAACAAAGTCAAACACAATAAAGCGTGGGATATATCAGAAATCAACGGAACCGGCTTCGAAATAGAGATTATAACAGCGTGGTACTGAATGAATTGGCAACGAATGAAAATAAAAGCGTCTATAAAAAGAAACAGCCGATACTGATAAAGTAGCGTATTTTTATGCATAAACGCGATCATATTTGTGCTGTTATTGTTATCGTTTCACCAATTATCGCAATACACTTTTACTTTGCTTCTTTAACTTGACATTAAACTTGATCGATTTGCTCCCATACAAAATATTTGTATCCCAAAACTGACGTCAGATCCGGTTTTTTCGTGCCAAAAAACTCCGAAAAGACCAAATTTTGTGAATTTCCAACTTCATCAAAATTCGAATTTTTCAAAAAAAAAAAAAAAATAAAGAGTCTTACAGGAGTAGAACGAACTTTTCCGCACGGTGGTAGATGCGTATTTTATCAAGCTATATATATTCGGCATCGAAATATTCTTTAATTTAATAGCAGATGTACTCGCAAAAGATTTTTCACACTATCATGATGAACTCATTTGTATGAAATTTGGAATTATTCTATTTTCTAACAAAGCGCTATAAAAATATGTCTGACGTTAAGTTTGCCATAAAAATTATTTTTGAAACACTTTTCATAACTAAAGTCACAAAAAATTTGGATTTTTGTATGGGAGCCATGTCTATATGCTACCTTAATGGCGTGAAACTTTGTACAGGTTATTTTTTTCACAAAAAAATAACATTCGGAGGGTTTGGAGAAATTTCAACCAAAATTAAGAGTACCTCCCATACAAAATATTCGTTTTTGATCCAAAAATTGAAAATTTTGTATGAGAGGTACCCCTTATTTTGATTGAAATCTCTTCAAACTTTCAGAATGTTATTTTTTTGTATAAAAAATAGTCTGTGCAAAGTTTCACGTCATTAAAGTAGCATACAGGCATGGCTCCCATACAAAAATTCAATTTTTTTGTGATTTTTTCAAGGAAACTGTATCAAAAATTGATTGTGTCTCAAAACTAACCTCGGATTCGGTTTTCTCTTGACAAAAAATCCCCCAATACATATTTTTGAGTGTTTAAGTCTACATTAAGTATGACTTTTGAACGAAAATTGGACTCTTTTTCATAGGTATCACGACCAGGCATGAATTTTTTTTCCATCAACCAAAGTCGCTCAAAATCTAATGATTCCTAATCCTCGCGACCCCCAATCATCCTGTAAAGTCAGATTTTGAATTAAATTTCTACGATGAGCGCAATCTTGCTAACAAATTTTGCGTACGACGTACAGATTAACAAAACCCATGTTTAAAAACGCCAAATTCGGGTTCTCTGACCTCAGAAACGTCCAGAAAACATGTTTCTGAAGTTTTCAAAATTTTGACGGATTACAATACTTTTCACATTACACTATGTGTGCGGAAAAGTAACATGACGGAGAGACATGTAAAGTACAATCGATTTTATGTTCAAATATTATGTCACGCAAATATGACCATTGAAATGTAGGTTGTTAGGCACCCTAAGCAATAATTGCATATCATTCCATAAAATAGTACACCAAGCATCTGGCTCTTGTTTTCCATGAACATTGTGGACTCCATTCGGACCAAAAAAAATTACACCGGTCAACAGATATTGCTCAAAAACTAACCAGCACGTCTCCTAGTAGTCCCAAATCATCCTGCAAAGTCAGAATTTGAATTGAGTTTTTTCAAGGGGGGTTGACGTATATGAGATTGGAG